TACAAGTGAAATGGCAAGCTTTTAAATAAGGAGCTCTCCGTTTTTCACGAATTTCACTCAATCCGAAACATAGGAAAAAATATGCATATTTTTAAAAATCATTTCAAGAAAAAAAAAAAAAAACTGAAAAAAAGGGGGGGGGCTTTTTGATCTTGTTACGGTTAAGAAGAATTTACTTGGCTTTGGATTGTGTCTTATATAGTCAAATACTAGTATCTGGATTTCAAAACTGCGTTCGCATGGATAATGCTTACAAGTGAAATGGCAAGCTTTTAAATAAGGAGCTCTCCGTTTTTCACGAATTTCACTCAATCCGAAACATAGGAAAAATATGCATATTTTTAAAAATCAATTCAAGAAAAAAAAACTGAAAAAAGGGGGGGGGGCTTTTTGATCTTGTTACTGACCTACCTCTGTATTGAACTGGATTTTTTCTTGCACGTTAAGCCCAGAGAAAAAGTTTTTTTTAAAAACTTTTGTATGAACAGATACTGTTTTTTTCACTTGTTTACAGATAGATTTTAGTAAGAAAGAAGAAAGCACATATCGGGGAAAATACAAAAGAGAGCCTGTGGTCCAGGTGAGCTAGAAAGAGGTGAAAAATATGATGCCTTCCACAGAAAGTTTAATTACTAAAGTCTACAACCATCAAATGAATTTGTTATGTTGAATGTACAACTTCACTCAATAAAACGTGAGTTTATTCTCATAAAACATATCTGGCGACATCCAAGTCGTAAAATTCTCCATCACTGTGTGGATGTTAATGATTGTGTAATTAAGACAATTATCACGCACCTTGCAGCGCCATTAACCAACATTCACAGTAACCGGGTAGTTCCTATTCAGGAAAAGACCGATTTGGACCGTTCTACGACATAATGTCCTGGCAAGTACATTGTTTATTGGTTACTACAACAATGTTGGCTATAAATGTACACAAAACCTTGAATAGTTCCTGTTAAATATCGATTCAAAGAAAAAAATGTCCAAAAATATCGCATCGGTTAAAAAATACACGACCCCACAATCTACAGGTACTTTTGCTTTTTGTTCGGGGAGGGGGGCTAACATCAAGGCAAAGACAACATGACTAATGAGCATGTCAATTGTACAAAAGGCCCAAGGGCCTTTATGATCACCTGAGTATTTTTGCTTGCTAGATGTCTATGAGTAAAAAAGATTTTCAAGGTTATTTATTTTCAATATCAACTTGGTGCCATTCTAGGGACTGACCTCTAGTCCCAGAAGGGCCATGTTTTACTGGTAGAGGGTTTGGTGTTTATTATAATCATACAATTTTCCTACTAGATTAAAAATGGTAAAATAGTAGAAACAAAAGGCCCAGGGGCCACATCGCTCACCTGAGCACTATGGCTAGGAAAAAGCAGAAATCACTTTAGTCTTGAAAGGTTGAAAAGTTTAAATATAAAAGTGGTTCGGGGGTGGGGGGGGGGGGGTGGGGGGTTATGAATTGAACAAATTTGAATCAACATTACCTGAGGATGCTTCCATTTAAATATGACCATCATGGCTTTGCTGTTCTTGAGTAGAAGATTTTTAAAGATTTTTCCTATGTATTCCTATATAAAACTTTGATCGCCCATTGTGGCCCCAACCGACCCCCAAAGGTCATGATTTGAACAAATTTGAATCTACACTACCTGAAGATGCTTCCATGTAAATATGACCAATTATTGCTTTGCTGTTCTTGAGAAGAAGATTTTTAAAGATTTTTCCTATATATTCCTATGTAAAACTTTGATCGCCCTCTGTGGCCCCATCCAACCCCCGGGGGTCATGATTTGAACAAACTTGAGTCTACACTACCTGAGGATGCTTCCACTTAAATTTCATATTTTCAAGCACAGTGGTTCTTGAGAAGAAGATTTTTTTAATGATGCCATTAATTTTTCACGAATTCATAATTATCTCCCCTTGGAAAAAGGCGTGGCCCTTCAATTGAACAAATTTGAATCCCTTTTACCCAAGGATACTTTGTGGCAAGTTTGGTTGAAATTGGCGGAGTGGTTCTGGAGAAGAAGTCCAAAATGTGAAAAGTTTACAGACAGACAGACGGACGGACGGACATACGGACTACAGACAAAATGTGATCAGAAAAGCTCATTTGAGCCTTCGGCTCAGGTGAGCTAAAAATTAAAGGATGTAGTGTATTCAATATATGACCATAACCGGGACCTGAATTATGGACCTAGGGGCCATGAATTCAACAATTTCAGTAGACAGCTAATTGCTTATTATAAGCATATAACAGCTTTCTTGCAAGATTCCATTGAGTGAAAACAGAAGAATTTCAAAGATGTAATATATTTGCAATATATGACCAATGTCTCATAAATTTAACAGTTTAACAGTTTGTAAAAAGTTGGGTACTTATTCTAATCTAGCAAACAGTTTGCTTGCTAGATGTTCATGAGTTACGAAGATTTTTAGCTCTTCTGAGCCAAAGACTCAAAGAGCTAATGCTATGGCCATTTGTGTGGTGTGCGGTGTGCGTAAACTTTTAAGAATATGGGCTATAACTCAAGAACCCCTTGGCCAATTTTTGTCAAATTTGTCACAGGGTATCCTTGGCCCAAGGGTTCACGTTTAAACTAAAACTAGGGTTTTGACCCTTAAACAAGGGGAGATAATTAGGAAAATAGAAACAAAAGTACTGGTTGCTAAAAAAACTTCCTCTAAAGAACCACTGGGCAGATTATCACCAAACTTACACAAAAGGATGAGGATATGTTGTAGATTAAAAATTGTTCAAGGCATCACCCTGGGGCAAAGGGCGTGGTCTCAAGGTCACTTCAAAGTTGACCAAAAATTACATTTTATTAAAATGTTGATATTTTGTTTACTAAAAGGACTAGGATCATCAAATCTTGTCAGTTGATGCATCTAAGGACCTCATATCATGTTGAAGTAGGTCACGGTGACCTACTTTTTAAATTTTGCGGCCATTCTTTTTCAAAATGATTTAGAGGCATATTTTGAACAATTTAAGGCCTATGATCATCAAACTTTGTCAGTTGATGTATCTTGGGTCCTCGGAGTACGTCAACTAAAAAGTAGGTCACCTTGACCTACTTTTCGAATTTTATGGCTAATCTTTTTCAAAACAATTAAGGTCATTAATTCGAATACTGAGAGGTTTAGAATCATTAAATCTTGTAAGATGATGCATCTTGGGGTTGTAAAACGTATTTATTAAAAAGTAGGTCACAGTGACCTACTTTTTGAACTTTGCAGGCATTCGATTTCAAAGCATTTTAGAGGCATAATTTGGACATTTTAAGGCCTATGATCATAAAACTTTGTAAGTTGATGCATCTTGGGTCCTCGAAAAAACGTCAACTGAAAAGTAGGTCACCGTATATGACTTTAATTAAATATTTCAAGTACTAATTGGCTTAGAATAATCAAACTTTGTCAGTTGATCCATCTTGGGTCTTCGGAGTAGGTTGACTGAAAAGTAAGTCACTGTGACCTACTTTTCAAAATTTATGCCTTTAATTAAATATTTCAGGTACTAATTGGCTTAGAATCATCAAACTTTGTCAGTTGATGCATCTTGGGTCTTCGGAGTAGGTCAACTGTAAAGTAGGTCACCGTGATCTACTTTTCACAACTTATGCCTTTAATTAAATATTTCTGGTACTATTTGGCTTAGAATCATCAAAATTTGTCAGTTGATGCATCTTAGGTCCTCAGAATAGTTCGACTGAAAAGTAGGTAGCCGTGACCTTTTTTTTTTAAATTTATATGACTATAATTAAATATTTCAGATACTAATTGGCTTAGAATCAGCAAACTTTGTCAGTTGATGCATCTTGGGTCCTTGGAGTATAACAACTGAAAGGTAGGTCACCATGACCTACTTTTGAAATTTTATGGTTATAATTTAAAAAATATTTTGGCTATTAAATGGCTTAGAATCAGCAAACTTAGTTGATGCATCATGGGTCCTCAGAGAATGACAAGTGATAAGTAGGTCACCATGACCTACTCTCTGGTACTAATTGGCTTAGAATCATCTTGGGTTCTCAGAGTGTTTCATCTAAAATGTAGGTCATGATGACCTACCTTTGGAATTTCAAGGGTCTAAATATACAGGATACTTAGAGGCTTCAAATAGAAGTGATAGGTTGTACAGTTTATCAGAAAAGCGATTCAAGGCCCTTGGGCCTCTTGTCAAAGGTTTTATTTTGTTTTCCTTTGTCTGACTATTCTACTTAACAAAAATAGATAAAATTAGTTTAGCCATTTCACAGAAGCTGAAAAAAGCTCCAAAGTTTACAAATGACACATGACAGACAGAGTGAATCAGGTGATTTAAATATTCAACAGGCTTTACTTGACCAAGGTAGCTTACTTCATTCTTCACTTATATGTAACAGGAGGGGATTAGATAAAGATTTAGGGTAAGGGATTACATATAAGGATACTGGAGTCCAGAGATGCCGATGTAGATATTTAAAAAAATAAATAAATAAAATGTCTGGGACATCTCTGGGATATGAACAACCTATATTACAACAGCACAGACAACTATGGTTATCTGACCCAGTGTGAGAGCTCCAAAATAAACACAATATGAACAAAATGAATGCATAAAAGATGTAAAATGCAGATTTTGTTTTAAAAGACAGTTAAAAGTAGAACCAGATCCTTGAAAATATGTGTAACATGTAATACTGTACATGTACGTAAATTCAAAATGTAGCACAATCACTGAGTATGGAGTGGTTGGCATAATCATGAATTAGTGCTACACACGTCTGCTCTTTGTATTGTATTCATTAATTTCTTTACAGTATTTTTAGTTTAGCGTATCATAGTCCTCACCAAAGCTGCTAAAATATGAAACCCAGATTTTTAAATTACACATACAGTATATCAAACATTTTCAGTCTTGTTGTGCTGCGTGGGTGTTTGTGCTGTGTGTGTGTGTTTTCTTTCTTCTTTTTGTTTGCTCTAATCTAAATCAAGTATTTCATAAGATACCAAAAATTAGCTATTTTATTCTTTTATAAAACATTCCAACATCCTGTGAACAATTCTCTTTCAGACACTAACAGATTTTCTCAGATTTTCTTTCCCTGGATCAGCAAGTTGTTGTGCTATATATCACAGTCTTTTACAATAAAATATGGACTTCTTTACACACAAACATAATCTAGTTCTAGTCTGTCCATTTAGTATGTATCATCACGTAGCTCCTAAAACTAAGCTATAGAACCTCCATATCACTGCTATCAGCACTGCTAACAAAGAAATGCCCATGACGATACTGTGGTTGGAGATCTTCTCAGACTGTAAAGGAAAAACAAATAAGTTGTGCAAATTGTATCAAAATATAAAAATTATGAACAAAAACTGCAGGCAGACACTTCTGAGTACTTCAGATCAGAAATAGTCCCCCCCCCCTCCTCTCCAACAACCCACCTGGATTAGGGAAGGTGCCCCTGACACCTGGCCTTTCTTTAAGGGAGGCGGAACATCTGGGCGTATGGCATCCTTGTCTGACAGAAGTCGTCCCTTAAGGAAATGTTTCCCTGTCTCTTTTATCTGCACAGTTACCATCTTACCCATCAGATCTTCATCCTTAGGAACCAGCACCTGTAAGAAATCAAATAAAGATGAAAAATAGGAAAAGGTACCGCAATCTGTCGGAAATACATGCAGTAGATGTATCATAAAATATTGCATGATACATGTACAGTATCTATGCGGTAAATAGGCAAATCAAATGATAGTACTTTCCTAAATTTAATAAAATCGTTTAGTTCTTTAATGCACTGTTATAAAGTAAGATACTAACATAATTGATTTATCCCCTGTACAATCAAACCAACAATCTAACCTGGTCATAGAACTTGTTGTGACCGACAAAGAACTGCTGATCGTGTGATATTTCTGTCACTAAAACCTCCTGTATTTCATTGATCTACATGTGTAAAATAAAATATGAAGACTAAAAACAACACAAACAGAAAGCTGGTATAACAATATCACATGTCTGTTTTGGTATCAAGGATTATGTCAATTTTCTCATTATTCTCAAACTCTGTTCTATCACATATAAACTGAGGATAATCTTAAAATGCATAAACTTAATGAAATCATGTGGAATATTTGAAATCAAATAAACTCATCTTTAGAAATGTTAACTTTAAAAAAATGAATTACAATTCTGACAATACCTTGTGATCATATGGTCTGTAAGAATGGAACAACTCAGAGATCTTCTTAGTTCGCTGTTTAACCTACAAATATTATTTAAAATAAATGATAAATTCAGTCCGTTGTATTTTCAATGTCTCATATAATTGTACTGTAATCTTATTCCTTTATCAATTGAAGGGTTGAACAAATCTGTTGTGCCAGTGCATCAGGAACATGTGTACTAAATATTTCTTTGGACAGGTTTAAGTAATCTTCAAGTATTTTAAGGCCGTTTTTTTTTTTTTTTGGCATCATATTGTATCATATATCACATTCGATATGCATAAAATTGTAAAAGCATATTTGACAACAATTAGGAGATATTTATATATACTACTCATATGAATTATGTTACACTAAATATTACACAATGTTATGTTTACACTCCTTTACCACTTCATGTTCATTTTAAAAGTTTTCCTTAGGAGAAAGCTTATATTAGTAATATGCATTTACTTTAATAGAATACAATACTGTTAAAAAATAAAAGTTTTTTTTTAATCTATTACTACCTGCTGAGCTGGTATACTTGGCATCTTTGACCTACCTGTGGAGCTTGTATTCTTGGCATCTTTGATTTACTTGTTGAGCTGGTATTCTCTGTTTCTTTCACCTACTTGTTGAGCTGGTATTCTCTGTATTTTTGACTTATCTGTTGAGCTGGTATTCTCTGTATTTTTGACTTATCTGTTGAGCTGGTATTCTCTGTATTTTTGACTTATCTGTTGAGCTGGTATACTTGGTCTCTTTGATCTACCTGTTGAGCTGGTATACTTGGCATCTTTCACTAACTTGTTGAACGGGTGCCGTTTTTAAGCTACCTGTTGAGCTGGTATTCTCGGCATCTTTGACCTTCTTGTTGAGTTAGTGGTATCTTTGACCTACCTGTTGAGTTGGTATTCTCGGCATCTTTGACTTACTTGTTGAGCTGGTGGAATTTTTGACCTACCTGTTGAGCTGGTATTCTTGGCATCTTTGCTGCAGGAGTTCCAGGTCTTGGAAAGAACTGGTTTATAAACAGACTAGGGAATTTGTACTCTTCTACAAGTTTTAGTGTCTCCTCAAAATCCTATGGCAACAAAATATAAGCATATTAATGGAATTTTAGAATCTACAGGATCATGATTGCAGTGTAATATTCTTGAGCACTACATGTCTCTTTAATTCACGTCAAAAGCTTGCAAATTTTGCTCCAGTAAGAATCCCTAATGTCTGATTACCATTTGTAATACATGTATATTTGCACCCTAAGCTTATTTCTGTTGAGATTTATACAGTTTTGAAAATGTAACAGACTAACACTAGTTTGCAGAAACTTGATAAATGACTACCTCCTCTGTCTCTGTGGGGAATCCACATATCACATCTGTCGCTATAGTGACTCCAGGTACCCTAGAAAACAAACATGAATTATTTTTCTCATTTCCTTTCAACAATTTGTCAAATATATCAGTTGTGAACTGCAAATACAACTGCTCAATGATTAAGCTGCCTGCACCTTTCTTTCAGGAAGTCTGCTACATGTCTGAAGTCTGCCTGGCAGTACTCCCTCTTCATGTCCATGAGAACGCTATCAGAAGCTGACTGCACGGGGACATGGAGGAACGAGTAAACTCGTGGATGCCTTAGGATTTTGGCCATCTCCTACAAAAATTTAAATAACCAATGAAAAATCTATACACCCTACAGAATTATGTGTCAAAAATGAATGGCACTGTTCTAATCATACCAAAGTTCAGTTTTCATAGATAAATGTCGATAAAAAATTTGTATATTATCTCAGTCTACACCATGTAAGGTGGTCCTGTTTTAAAAATCATTTAAACTTTGTCTTTTGCTACAGAAATTATAGAGAGAGACATCTATCCCAGTTTCAGTAAGTGTGTACCTCAAGATGTTCTAGAATATAAGGTGGGTTTGTCATCCCCAACCTCATTCTGGCCCCCTCTGGAATGACCTCTACAAGTTTCCAAAGCAACTCTGGCAAGGTCACCCCTATATCATGTCCATATGCACCCAGATCTTCTGAAGTCAACCATATCTCAACTACACCCTCTGGAATAAATAAAAGAATATCTTTTGAACTCGACTTGCAATTTTGATACTGTAGTATTTGCAACATTTGAATCAATATGGTTTTGAAGAAAAAATTGCTTTACATTAGGGATGTCAATTTTGTCGCTAATTCATATTCGAATATTCAATGAAAGTATTCGAATATATTCGAATATTCGATAAAATAAATAAAATCTGGTTTAGTTTAAATATGTATCATCCTCTACTTGAAAGGTTTAGAGTAGGTATTCTTATATTGGAAGTAAAATTGTATGAAGACTTTTGTAGGTGTAGAATAAAGGAATTCCTTTTGATATTTATCAATGTTTTAAATAAATATTTGATTTAAATGTAGAAAAGTAAAATTTTAACAAATTATACAATCATGTGTTTTTATAGTAGCTCCAACTGAGGAACCCGTCGTCTTACCAAAGGCAGGATAGTCGTATACTGTTCAGATTTCAATACGTGCAATAAATTACAATTATCGGCCTAATAAGAAATATGATCATAACCTTTCATACAACGTTTTTAAAATATAAACAAACATTTCCATAGATAATTTTCCTAGGTAATTAACTTCTTTCCCGATAATGAAAATAAAATTCAGGATTATGTACAACCAGTGATAATCAAGTAATTTACACATTTATTCTGAAATTGAGCCCTCTACAAAGTTTAATTACAGACATACATTCAGTGATCAATTAAATTTATTAAGATAAGTATTCTCTTCACGTTTTTTAGACATTCTAAGAAGGTTTGTCTTTTGTTGTCCTCGATTCTATATCCGATTGTATTTAACAAATAAAAAAAAGTATTAAAGTACCTTATGTATTATATATAAAACATTAATGTATAATTCATTAACATCTTACTCAAAACAAAATAATTTAGTAGATATATACGTGAAAGAAACCAGGCGATCAATATTGATCGCTTGTAAATTAAAGGGGATATCTAATCAAAATTTATTAATCGCAGCTGTACTTCTTTTAATGAAATCTGAAAAATACCGAATATTCGAATCTTAAATTCATATTCGAATATCAACTCATCGAATGAATATTTGAATGTTCGAATATTCGTTGACATCCCTACTTTACATAAATACCATCTTGGTGAAAGAAATGCATATACTAGTTTACTGTTGGTACAACTGCACCTACCCTCAAATGACTGTTTGGCTCTGGCAACAATTTCCTCCGGGGGATAACTACCCAACTCCCCTCGGGCATGTTTGGTTTTACAGTATGTACACTGATTCAGACACCTTTGAAAATAAAATGTATTAAACAAAACACTGAATTTCCTTATTCATACCATCTATTTTTTTTTCATTGAAAAATAAATTTTCTGTTTCTATTTAAGTACAATGTATGTATAATTTAAATTCCATATCATAATGTTTAAGAAAATACCATAATTTATTAATTCTTTCAAAATCAGTATGTTGTAGTCTCCATAGGCAGAAAAGGTATTGTACCTGGGTAGTAAAAAGACAGAACTGACATGTGTACACTCAGACTGAGTTTTCTCTGAGGTGCTTCCTTACCCAGTATTTATAGCTATGATTTCTATGAGGGGGTTCTTCCTAATTTTTGGCAGACTGAGTGATGCACCTCCCACTTTCTTACCCTCCTGCTTTTTCTGACCATACAGCCTCACAGAATGACCTGAAATAAAACCATTTTAGTGAAATACTCATTGAAAAGCATGAGTCTGTTCAAATCCAAGGGTAGGATGGGGCCACAAAGTTTTAAAAGGAATACTTAGGAAAAAAATCTCTAGGTGTCATAACAGTATTTCATTTGAGGTTCACATCAAAACTGGCTGACACAAAATAATTCCTGAATCTCCCCTCCCAATTTGGGCATTTCTGCACTAGACTGGGACTGATTTTTTTTATAACATGAAAAACTACATGTAAACTTCCTGATTTTACAACATATGTACATTAAATTTCTGGACATACTGAAGCTGCATTGGGGGGGGGGGGGGGGGGGGGGGAGAGGGGGGGGGGGTGATTAGGCCCTGCACTTGATTTTCAAGCACTTGCTCGACTAAGACCACAACAAAACTGAATGCCTTGTTGAGTGGTTCTGCATTTTTTGGTACTAAAATATGTATTAAGAATTGCTTTACAAGATCTGAAAAGAAATACTCTTAAAAAATATGTTTTAAATTGTCTGTATATCTCCTTACTATCACCAGTCTGCAGGAGATTAATTCAAATTCTTCTCTTTCTGCATTGCTTCAGCTAAAATTTTGTGTTGATGCTCAAAAAAAAAAAAAATAAATAAATAAATAATTGTGCTTCACAAAATAGGAAATGCTCCTTGCAATTTACATGTCTAGATGATAAAAAACAATTTTTCACAGTTGATTCATCAATTATTCAACACTAGATGGCTCATACCAGATATTTCAAACAGCTCATACCAGATGTTTCAAACAGATATGGATTTTTCATAAATATTTCAAAAAGCAATATGTTTAAGTCCTCCCCCACATAAGCAGTCATTGAAAATAATCCATAAATTACCACATAAGTGGAATTTTTTAGAAAGACGCAAAAGTGATTCTTTCTTCAAATTCAGTATTTAATTTTAATGAGAAGCAATTTTATGATGCCTAGAAATATAACAGCTACCTCTAAAGCAGAATATATTGTAGTGATATTCAATATTAGAAATCTCAACACCCTACTTAAAATGTCAAAATGGAATCCTGGCTAAAATTTCTGCTTATAAGGTAGCAGAAATGAAAGCAGTCAACTGTCCTGAGGAATATAATCCTTTAAATCATAAGATACCCGATGAATCATTTGTTACACTGATATAATATCCATCTGAACACACTTTGATACACATCATTTCTGTTTTTCCTCATAGAGAATGGTAAAATCTTCTAGGCAAAGGTATGATTAATTTTCATATTTATATCTATCAATAATCTAATGAACTTGACCTCTGACCTTTCAATGTCTCCTCCACGACCTCTGTCACCCTGTCAATCTGCTGGACTCCTATAACACTGAGACCCTGGAAAAAAGTTTACAACTGATGTTATTACAATCAAAGAAAATTGCATTTACAGATGTAATCATTACATATACATGTACAGTGTACAATCAAAGTAAAAACAAGGTCTTTCAGATGTTTGTAGATATTACGAATTACACAGTAACAATAACAACCTAATATTTCATGCTTGAAGTTGTTACATATCAAAATCTCCTCTACTGAGAAAGAAACAATACCTGATCCTACTTCAGACTGCTACAATCAAGGGATTTTTTAAACTGTAGGCAGACTCCCATAGGAAAGAAAGTCTAATTAATTGTAGTCACTAAAACGTAGGTAAGGAGCCAACTCTGGGCAAGAAAATTCTTACTATTACGTGGGTGGATTTGGGTTAAGTAGCCAACCCTGGGTAAGAATATTCTGCCTATTAGGTAGGTGGATTTCAGTTAAGTAGCAAACCTTGGGCAAGGAAATTCTTAGCATTTGGTACGTGGATTGGGGTTAAGTAGCCAGCAATGGGCAAGGAAATTCTTGCCATTAGGTGAATTAGGATTAAGTAGCAGGTATGAATCTCTTACCTGAAGATAGTCTGCTCTGGGCTGACCCTGGGGGACACAGCCAGCCACCACTATTTTCTTCTGTTTCTCTCTGGCCTTTTTGATCTCGTTTCTGAAGTGGTCCTCTGCTGGATTTTTGACAGTACAACTGTTCAGGAGCCACAGATCTGCTGAGTCACGGCTATCTGTAGAAAACAAATGCTTTCACTTTCAGAGTTTCCTAAGATATCTTAAACACAAAAGTCATGATAAGGATACATTCAAAATTGTTTCATGTAATAAACTTTATAATAAAATCAACATTTTCTCTACATCTGAGTTGAAAATGTTTTAAAAAGGTCATCATGTTGTGGGAATAGTGAATTCAGGAAACTTGGTCAAGTAAAAAATATACATGTAAATTGCTAGTGTTCATTTCTCAACATACAAAATGTCACATACTCCTAACAGAATTAAAAACCAAACATGAGCTACTTCTGACCTGTGATTTTGTAACCATATGATGCCAGCTGTCCAGCCATGTATTCGCTGTCTGAATTATTGTGAGAACATCCCCAAGTTTTCAGCCATATTTTCTGTGTTCCTAAAAGTGTAGCATGATAAATAGTATTAATCTCATTCTTTTTAATTCTAATAAAATTCAAAATGCTTCTAGCATTTTTTAACTTATCTCTCTGTTCTGTTAAAGAATGTCAATCATTGTATCAGTACTAGTAGTACTGATATTACAAAGAGAGCAATGAAAACACAAACAACTCATACAGAAAGCAAGTCCTTATGTGAGTCATACAAAGACTCTTGTACCTGGTATGATGCTATCTGCATGGACTGCTTCCTCTTTGGTTTGTCTGTGAATTCGTTTGGCTTTAGGGACAACATGTCTCTTACTCTCTTGACGAACATCACCAGGAGAAGAGTTCTTGTTGACAATGTCTTCTATGTCTTCAATCAAAGAGGAATCTGCAACTGGCATTGTTACCTATAAAACATAATCACAAACCATTAAAACCACACTCATTGGTATTTATAATTCATGCTTAACTTGTCACTATGACAGTAAGGGATAAGTTGTCATTACGACTATTAGACATGAGTTGTCACCATGACAGTACAGTAAAACTCGTTTAGTACAAACACAGATATTGCGAATTCAAGGATACAGCAAAATTTTCTTGGATCCCCCATTATGAAAATTTTACAAATTCCTTATATGGATATAACGAATTATGGATATAGCGAAGTAATTTAACAGGTCCCAGTGACTTCGTTATGACCGAGTTTTACTTAGTCACTATGATAGTAAGGCATAAGTTGTCACTTTGACAGTAAGGCATTAGTTGTCACTTTGACAGTAAGGCATAAGTTGTCACTGACAGTAAGGCATAAGTTGTCACTATGACAGTATGGCATAAGTTGTCACTATGACAGTATGGCATAAGTTGTCACTATGACAGAGAGGCATTAGTTGTCACTATGACAGTAAGGCATAAGTTGTTACTATGACAGTAAGGCATAAGTTGTTACTATGAAAGTAAGGCATAAGTTGTCACTATGACAGTAAGGCATTAGTTGTTACTATGACAGTAAGGCATAAGTTGTCACTAACAGTAAGGCATAAGTTGTCACTATGACAGTATGGCATAAGTTGTCACTATGACAGAGAGGCATTAGTTGTCATTATGACAGTAAGGCATAAGTTGTCATTATGACAGTAAGGCATATGTTGTTACTATGACAGTAAGGCATAAGTTGTCACTATGACAGTAAGGCATTAGTTATTACTATGACAGTAAGGCACAAGTTGTCACTATGACAGTAAGGCATAAGTCTTCACTATGACAGTAAGACATAAGTTGTCATTAACGCAATAAGGCATTAGTTGTCATTATGACAGTTAGGCATAAGATGTCACTATGATAGTAAGGCATAAGTTGCCACTATGATAGTTAGGCATAAGTTGTCATTATGATAGTTAGGCATAAGACATTGGAATAGTTTATGTTAAAACAGGAGTGAATCAAAACTGCAGCATGTCTGATTTTTAGACGGTGGCTATTTATAGCCACAGGCTATTGCTGCTGGTCTGGGCTATGAATAAACAACAGTGTAAAATCACGGGGACCCTAGCGGCGATTTTTGCAGAGACAAAATAATGAAAGTGGGGTCGTTTTGATGTTCGAAAATAAAATGTACATGGTTCTCAAGTTATTTCAATGACATTTTGTTGATGGGCACAAAGTTTAATTCCTGATATTTGCCGTTTTAATATTTCTTGCCTTATGAATATTCATTAAACTACGCCGACTTAATGTTAATTCGTACAAAAACTGATTCGTATATAAGGAGTCAATTTGTATGCTAACCACAAAAGTCAATTCGTACATAAAGTTTGCTGAACATGAAACAAATGCAAAAAGTTAGTTCGTATACACATCCTTTTTTACGTTGTGTAAATGTAAAATTTCAATAAAATTTATTAAGAGTAAAAAAAAATCTGGGGGAAAATATTTACGGATAATGGTTTCACATTACACCTTACCATCTTAAGAAATAAAATAACTATTGTTAAACCAACACACTCTCGGCGGTTTCTTAATTCGCTGTTGGATGTGTGACAAACACTTATTACGAGATGCTCCCAATTTGGTATTCCCTAATTACGAGATACTCCATGCTTGGAAAGCGTCGATCCACAAATTTCTCCATTTCCGAAAATTCAGTTAACATGATTCAAGGACTGCGTATTCCTTGTTGCAGAACTGCATATTTTATTTGAGACGTTTTGTGGATTTTTTATACAATAATACTTATACAGTTTATTGAAATTTTACGGTGTCTTTTGATTAATGGAATTTCTAGTATCTCTTGACGATACTATATTAGAAAAAGATATATTTTGTTTGGAGGTCCGTGTTTACTCTGCTCCTGTTTTGTATTGTTTAATGGACTTTTGATCTTGAATATTGTTCGTTATCTCCATATATTTCATTTCGGAATGTAAAAAAAAAATCACGTCCTCTTAAAGTTTACATAAAAGAGAGTTGTTGAAGGCAGATACGATGCCATTTTGCAAAGTTAATTTCGGTTCTATCTAAAAACAAAAGTCATTGCCTAATTACGGACACAAAAATTACTGAAAGGATGCTAATTTATCAAAGCTATAATTATAAGACTGTGACGAATAAAAGTTACCCATATATTTCATTTGTATTTGAAAATTCTATCGTGCCTCGAATAAAATTTACCCTTTAAAAACTGTAAGAAAAAAGCTACACAAAAGCATGTACATAAAATATTAGGATTTTCTTGCGAATTCAGTTGACTTAATTTAGGTCAGTCTTCTCCTACATGTGGAAATTTGGCAAAAATGGGGATCCAAAGATAAAGTCTATTTCATTATCTTTCAGCATATAATTTATGTCGCACAGTACAACGCCAAAAGTGATTCATCATTTCCCTTTTTACCATATATTTTAAGAAAAGTTAGTTTTTGTTTAAAAAAAAATATTGTGAGTTCAATTTTACTCCAGATTAGCAAAATTTGATAATTAACCACTGAGTATAAGATTTTAAATTATAAAATCACAATTTCTAACTTCAAAACACCACGATTTCATGACACTTTTTGTTGTAAAATTTAACTTTTTCATTTGATACTTGATATCACTGAAATGCATGCTGATAAGATTATTTTCAAATTATGCGAAGAAGGTACAATGATTTCGGAATTTACTGATACTCGCTCATATCTGCAACTCACAATAGGTTTATTAATTGTTCCTCAAATATCTCAAACACATTTCTGAAAAAAAAACCAAAAAAAAAACCGCACATCTAACTTGGAATAGCGCCTAAATGGAACCACACATGCATGTGTAGAAAGCTATCTTAAAATAAACATGTTCGGTCACCACATGAATATAATAGAACCTTTGATTCCCTTAATTTAACATTTAGGGTAAAATGAATTGTTTCAAGGATTAATTAATGAAAAAAAAAAAGATTGAAATGATCAAGCTTTCGTTTCTTGCATCTCAGCGCATTTTTTTTCTTCAAACATTATTTCAAAATAAAACTAAATAAATGTAAAAAATTTCATGCAATAAATTGTTTAACAACTTCAATTAATATATGTCCTCATCATACTGATGCAAATATAAAATAACTCATCAAATACATGTATTGTGAAACATTGCAACAAACTTTCATAATTTCCATATCATTTTACAGATTCTCATATCATTTTATTTCATTTAATTCATTCATGCCAGTGGCCAGTAATTAGAGCGTTTGCTCTAGAGTCAAGGATTAAGGAGTCGATCCTTACATGTAGGTCGCGGGTTCGAATCCCACTGCGGGATGTGGAGACCGTTCCTTCGGATGAGACCGTTAAACTGAGGTCCCGTGTCGCAGTAAGTGCTGGCCAGAAAAAAAGATCCCTCACTGCACAATGGCCCTGAGTGCTGAATATAGATATAAAATTTGCAGCCCACCAATGGCAATGGTGACGTCTCATTATGAGTGAAAAATTCCCGAGAGGGACATTTTAATTAAAACAAACAAACAAACAAAATCATTCATGCCACCGTCTATCAGTACTCACAGTACTTTGATTTAAATTCTGATAGCCATGGACTGGAAGAAGTCAGAAAAGAATGGAGAGACTGGGACACCATGGAATTTTAACATATTGGATGATATAGATTTTGCAGATAATGTTGTCTTATTGTCATCAATGAAACAACACATACAAAGGAAAAAAGCAAATATGGTAGAAGAAGCAGGGAGAATGGGATGAGAATAAATACCAGAAACAAGAAGAAAATATACATTAAAGGAGAAGAAGTACAAGAAGTAAACTCATCTATATACTTAGGAGCAATAATAACACCAGAAGTAGGGGGAATGGGAGCTATCAAAAACAGGCTCTCAAAAACAAGGAACACTTTTATCAGACTTAAGAAATATGGAACAGCAATAACATCAAAAGAAAAACTAAACATAGGTAATCAAGTCTGACCTGTTTTAAAGATGCTCCTTAATTATGCTAATTTTTATTTTCAAAAACAGGTAAAAGTAGGTAGATGTAGCTACCTCAAGTAGGTATAAATACCTAGGTAGCATTAACAGAGACCACAGCAAGTGGCACAAAGCACCGCTCATCACTGCAAGCTCTCAAAGCAAGGCATGGGCAAAGAGAAAATTCGGACTTAGCACATTGATCCAAATGATTTTTTTCTCCGCAATTACCTCGAGACCCACAATGCAACATAAATGCATCTCACTGCTAACTATGCTCTCATGGTATTACAAAAGAAGTTCAACAAGAAATAAACTCACCTTGTTTTAATGGCAGATAAATATACAATGTAGTAGATTAAACATTCTTTGTTAAAATTTGCACTTTTCAGGCTTTGTTATAAATAAATACAAATAAATAAATGGTAATGCAAATTACATATATCTTGTTCGCCCTATTATATAAATATCAACAATTATTATTAATTTTATTCGATATTTTACGATTTGGTGTTTTTTTTCAAATGTTGCTACAGTATATTTTTTTTATTTACCGTAATCTTAATTAAATAATTCAATTTGATATTTATGCTCTTTACATGCTTAATTGGTTTCAATATACTTAATAATGTCACTGTAATTTTGGGGATCATACAATCTGCGTTATGTTTTGAAAACAATTAAAGGACTGAGACGTTAATTTCTGTTGGTCTGCCGGGTCTTTGATAGGACAGGTATTTATAGTGTGACCACCTGCATACGTCTGTTGTCTCCTGTGTGCAATTTATGTACCAATGTACATATAATTTACTTAAAAAATCCACTGGTTCATTATTCAACTTTCTGCAATATAAGGAAGGCGAACGGACCCTGTGTGAACAAGTTTTAGGGCGATCGGACTCTGGGCGAACGGGAATTAGGGTGAACAGTGTCAAGGGCGAACAAGTTTTAAGGCGAAGAACATACAACCATGTAGGTAGAAATAGTCTTTGAGCTGGACCTGACCAAGCCTACAGAGTTAGTTGTATACGTAGTATTAAACCATTGCAAACAAAGATGCCGAAGGGCTGATTAGATAATGATGGACGCCCTCATCCCAAAGGTAGAGAATATTGGCATAGGTAGAATACAAATGTAGTTTCCAATGACATTGGGATGAAATTGCCCTATGATTAATGATTATAAATACCGTACGATTCCTCTTCCGAATACGATAAAAGTTTTGATTGATGGTTGAATATTTGAAGTACATTTTTGTACAAAGTTTTTTCAGGGACCTATATACTAGTTTATTTATAGGTCCCTCATTTTATGTGTCATGTATCCTGTACCTTTTTAAAGGAAAAACAAAACGTTGCAGTTGCACCAGATCATGATCAACCTTTTTCTAAACCGGAAGTCGAACGTGCGAGATATCTTTCGTGCCTCTTAATTTAGAGAGTTCTTTGAAAAGAGAAAGTAGGCCAAGAAATTTGAAGAAAGTGGGCCATGTCAACAGCAGTGGTGTAGACAATGAGAACTATGTCAACAGCATCTCTTCTTTTTCCACTGGAGAAAAGTCTTCCTATCTGTCGAATTCAGGTAAGCTTATTCTTTTTTAATGAAATAAGGTAGCCATGATTTTATTCATGTCGTCTGTTGTGCTATGTATTTTTCACAAAATCCTTGTAGAATGCATCGTACAAGCGTTATATTATGATAATTGACATTATTTTCTGAAAAAGAAATAAAGCAGTAAGTTGGGAAGACTGTAAAAATAATCATAATCATTAATAAAGCCCGAGAAAGGTAATTTAGATGCAGTAATCATATGGAATGAATTATGTAATAAAAATTATTTAAATTGTTCATATCATGTTGATATTTTGAAGCTTTAAACAAACTTAAAATTAAACGTACAAAATTTCACACAAATGAGTATTTACTCATTTACACGAATCATAAAGTAAAAAAGAAAACTGGATAAGAAATTTTTAAAAAATAATAATATGTTTGTTTTTTCAAAGTTCCAATTTCTCCCTACACACGCAGATGACATTAAACATAGCGCGCTTCATGAAATATGCCTACGTGACAAGTCTGTGTGATTTACACACCAATAACTCACACAAAACTTATTAAAAACATTCCTTAAATGGTGAGAGAATTTTCTTAGGTGCAATTAAACTTAAAATTCTTTTATTAGTTATACAGAGAAGTGGTTTATAAGAAGAAATATGGACCAGTGTACAAAGTGTGGCTCAGCCCTGGACATGTATTTATATCTGTAAGGAATGGGAGACAACTCTTCACATTTGACTCAAAAAGTACATCACAGGTATAATGCAATTTTAAGCATTGATGATATATTTCACTTTTCATGAGAATTCATCAGTCTAGTAAAATATTGCAGCCAATCTGTAATTATAATTATATAAAGATATAGTCATAGTTAAATTTGTAAAGGCGATATGAAAAATTGAAGATTTATTTATTTACAATTGAAGTCTGGTATCTCAAAGACCGATATCTCAAATACCAGGATATGTCAAAGTGATTTGGAGGTCCAAACACTTATTCTTTAAGTATGTTATTCTGGATATCTCAAATCCTCTGATATTTTAAAGTCTTTTCTTGGTTCCATCGAATTTGAGATAACAGGGTTTGATTGTATGTCATCTCTCTGAATAGAAAAGTTTTTTCTATTATAAAGTTCTGATCTCAAAGATTTGAGTTGTTTGCAAAAGAATGTATTTGGTTATCTAAATGTTGTATAAATAGAATTCATTATCATTATGATTATTGTTATAAGTAAGAGTGCAATAGCATGAAGAATTGTTTTGTCACATTAGAACTGATAAAATGCAGACACGACAAAGTTCTGAATGCAGTTTAAATTATCATTACAATCCAGGCTGGTTAAAAAAAATGTTGATCTTGTGAAATGTTAACCATAATAATTGGGCCAAATTTAAAGACGTACAACACACTGGGGGAGATAACTCTTGCGATTTCAATAAAACGTTTAACATAACGTCAAATTTGACGTTAATTAAGAAGCGTCAAAATGACGAGCGAAATGATCCCGATGTAATTAATGTAAAAAAAAAAAAAAAGAATAGAGGTTTTTATTGTAGTTTCCTTAGGAATACCAAATCATATCCTTTATCATTTGCGCAATTGCAATAAATCTCCCCCCTCCATAAAAAAGTAAAATAGACAAGTTCCTCAAACTTCTTTAATTTAAATTTCGTTAATTAATTCTTTAAGTTGTATTTATGATACACACAAAGGCATTTTTTTAATCTAAAAATGTTAATGCTACTCTACATTGCTTTTTCCCGTTACAATCGGCCGCATAACATTGAGAATAAATGTTACTGGTATGTCTAAATATTATCACATTATGAAAATATATAAACATTTTCTTGCTTTTCATTTCTTTGAAAAAAAATTAAAAAGAGTAACCGTTTTCAGAAGGTCACTGATCAAAGAGAAACAACTCTAGATCTAAAAGTGTATGTCTTTCCTCCCCTTAACTGAGTTATTCCTCCTGTTTTCCGAAGAATTATGTTTTTCCCTCACAAATACACAGATTCATTCATAGTGTGTTGACAAGAACTGAAAGCCAAAGTTTATACAAATTAAAGTAAGTATCAACAGTGAAAAATTATTTACTAAAATTAATACATCGGTTGCACCCCACTGAGAAAATCTTTTACAGTAGACAGTTTCAGTTCGCATTTCCTTGAATAAAAACAAACGATTGATACAGTACCAATGTAGATGATTATACCATTGTAGATGATTCAAGCACATAATTTTAATATTGATAAATAATTTACAATTTGGTACAATCGAAGTTAATTTGGACGAATACATCATTTCCATTCATTGACACAACAGAAGGATACAATATCCGGGGGTGGGGGGCACCCCTCTCGTTTGAAAACAGAAATAATTTAAAATCTGTATGTACATATATTCCATTTTCATCTCAAGAGAGTTGTACATACATCACTGTTGGTTCATGAACTTAAAAAATGATATTCAATGCAAGTAGAAGTCATATAAATGTTTGAAACTGCACCTGTGTGCATGAAATCCAAATCAGACACTTGGTCATAAAATCCTTAGAAAAATAGTTTTACTAAATATAAATATAAAAAAAATAATTTTTAAAATAACAAAAAACATTAGTAGTCAATATTTAATCTGTATACACGAATGAAGGACATTACTTTAGGAGATCAATATATTATGCAGACGCAACCAATGTTTTGTTTTTTTTTCAAGCTCGAATGTCCTGCATTGCATAGAAGAATGGAGGAGGGGGGGTGGTCTTAAAATTTCAGAAATTGCTTTTTCATCTTCATATAAATGCAGATGTAAAGTTTTATATTTGTGATAAATATAATTTACATTACATTTTTTAAGTAAAATATTTTTTCCAGCTAGGAATTTTTATTTGTATTTGTAGAATCATAGCATTGCTTTCGTCCCAAGTCTGAAAGACGCTATGAGAAACGTAACTTACAGAGAGAGGGGGAGGGGAGATTTTCCGCTATAAATTCAAAACGCGTCGTTTAAAAAATTTTCAAAAAATTATCAAGAACATTTTGATCATCAGTTACAAGAAATAATTTTTTTTTCAAAATTAAACGACAGATTTTTTTCATAAAAAAATATTTCATTTGAAAATCACGCATTTTTCAATGCAAAAATGAACCATAGTTTTTCAGTTTAAATTCTTCAAAATCGTTTTTCTTGAAGTGTACCTCTACAAAATCACTTTGTTTGTATGTTTTAATAGTGAAACGAACGATTCGATAAATTTTGACAGCTAGACTAACCTTAAATATTTTAAAATTAGGGATTTTATAGTTAGTTGGTTGAATTTTTTTTTGTACTCGTGATCAGCCAAAGGGCGGTAACTTTAGGAACTTCCTGTCCAAATTTGGCTCTAACGATTTTGACCAAAATGTTCATACACATAGTAGATATTGTCATGTATAAGAAATATAAAAATAGCGAAAATTAAACGACAGGAAATTTTTGGGGTAGGTGTGTTGTACATCCTTAAAATTACAAAAGATTTTGTTGAAATTAAACTAGAGTACCTAAAAATATCACTTTCTACAAGTTGATTATTAATACACATGATGATCCACTTGTTTACACTCAAATGAGAACAAATTTGGACTGATGAAAAATTTAGTGGGCTTGTAAATTCTAGGAAACCATCAGCCAAAAAGCTAAAAGAAGTTTTTATGCCCCGCCATGAATATAGCCGGGGCATATAGTGTTTGTCATGTCCGTCTTCCGTCCTTCTGTCCTTCCGTCTGTCCTTCCGTCACACTTTGCGTTTAGCTCTGTTCAAAGCTCAGTTTCGAAAAAAACTATCCAAGATATTTTTATCAAACTTCATATGCTGATAGATATTGATGAGAGCTATGCAACTGCATCAACATTTTTTGACCTTGACCTTTCCTTTGACCTTGACCTCACTTTTCTTAAATTAGTGTTTAGCTCAGTTTTAAAGATACCATTCAAGATAGTGTAATCAAACTTCATATGTTGATACATACTGATGTAAGCTATTCAACATCATCAACATTTTTTGACCTTGACCTTTCTTTTGACCTTGACCTCACTTTTCTTAAATTAGTGTTTAGCTCAGTTTTAAAGATACCATTCAAGATAGTGTAATCAAACTTCATATGTTGATACATACTGATGTAAGCTATTCAACTGCATCACTATTTTTTGACCTTGACCTTTCTTTTGACCTTGACCTCACTTTTCTTAAATTAGTGTTTAGCTCAGTTTTAAAGATATCATTTAAGATAGTGTTATCAAACTTCACATGCTGATACATACTGATGAGAGCTATTCAACTGCATCAACATTTTTTTACCTTGATCTTTCCTTTGACCTTGACCTCACTTTCCTCAAATTAGTGTTTAGCTCAGTTTTAAAGAAACCATTCATAATATTTTTATCAAACTTCATATGTTGATACATACTGATTTAACCTTTTCAACTGAATCAACAATTTTTGACCTTGACCTTTCCTTTGACATTGACCTCACTTTTCTTAAATTAGTGTCAAACTTCATATGCTGGTACATACTGATGAGAGCTATTACACTGCATCACTATTTTTTGACCTTGACCTTTCCTTTGACCTTGACCTCACTTTTCTCAATTTGTATTAAAATGTTGCATTACTAATATACCCTCATCGGGGCATTCATGTCCTATGGACATATTTCTAGTTATTTGCAAAGACTGTCATTATACAATGAAAATATCTCTGAAATTCACTTTTCATGAATTTTACTCCTTTAATTTTGCAAGGATGAAAACAAAGGATGCCTTGATTTACAAAACTTAGATCAACCCATCCTTGATATCTTACCATCTGATTTGAGACAGTGTGTTTATATTGTAAGTATTAAATGATCTTCTTTATCTTACAAAAGAATCTTCTTTTGAGTACCAGTAATGTAGAGAAAGATGTAAAATATGCTGTTGATTTTAATATACATGTAGATAAGTTTATTTTATGTGTCATTAAGTGTTTGTAGATTTACAAGAATTGATCTCATTTGTAGGTTCAGAACAATGGTTATGTACAGTGCTGGAAATTTCGAGCAGACAGGACCTGGGTTTTAGAACAGGAGTTTAATATATGTAACAGCAATAGGTCAGAGGTCACAAGTGTGTGTTTTCATCCTATACACAGTGCACTTTACTGGTGTGAAAAAAGAGTGACTTCCTCATCAGACCGCTCTATATATTGTATATGTAGGAGGAAAGTCCCCAATGGTGATTATTTCTCTTACTGTTATATACAGATAGGGATACAATTCTTTTGGTCTTGCAGAATCAATTAGGAAATTGTAATTGAGAAGTTCATTGATAAGTGTTGTATTAAAAACAATTAAAATTTTCACAATTACTTGACGTTTTCCTTATGATTAGATAAAAATCCATTCTATAATTAAAACAGTATGGAATTTTTTTTGAATTATAAAGAAAATGTTTTAAACGTCAAGTACCTGTGAAATTTTGAATATCAATCCCCACAGATGAGGAGAACTTGTCAGAGCAGGAGCTTGGTCCTGTAGAAGCCATTATGCACAATATCTGTCTGTGTCAGCTCTGTCCCCTACAACAGGGTGTGGCAATCATTATTAAGTAAGCTAGCAAATATAATGAACAGCCTACTCATTCAGTATTTAGAAATCTCAAAAAGAATAATATATATTTGGGATTTTCTGAATTTTAATGTGGAAAAGTATCAAAATGTATTATTATTGTTTCATGTCATTGCAGAAGTAGGCCTCCTTTGGTTTCAATGGTAATTTTGTGGAATCAATCTAGTAACATAGTCACTATGTATTCGGGTCCTTACATGTTGTCAGTGGAAAACCCCAGCTCAACACAAGCCTTTGATTTCACTTCACTGGGATTCAAGTTCATTAACATCAGTATTCAGGTTGATACTTATAGTGGTGTTTTTTAATTTCATTAAGTTTGAATTGTAAATATTTCTGTAAATCTTCATTTCTTACAGAACATTTGAAAATTACAGATAATTGAAAAAAAAGAAAACTTCAAAGAGCACATCACTGTAAAAAATTCTACAATCATTGTGTGATTTCAAAATTATTTATTTGTAATGTAGGTCAGGGATAAATTCAGAATGATAGGATATGCATACAATTCTCAGAAAATGGAGTTAGCTGTTATTGAAGAGGGCAGCATTGTCAGAAAACTCTCAGATGGAAAAGGTAGGTAGAACAATAGCATCAGGATCCAGGGCCCCATTTTACAAAAGAACTTATGACTACGATCAAAATGTAATTTTGTGAATAACTTTCTATCTTACATGGTTTTAATAATTTTAAAAAGAAATTTGAAAGATATTTTTATGCAAGTAATTTTTAATTGAATAATTAATTTTGGAAGATTTTACAATCAAATAAAGTTTTTGGTCTTAATCATAAGTTCTTTTGTAAAACAGGACCCAGGTCTTGGATTACCATGGAGAGAATCAAATCTGATTTCTAAAATTAGCAAGTAAGGACATATTCACAAGTCAAGTTTGATGCTTTGCAGTTTTTTTAATGATCAAAACAGAAATTAAGATTATATAATATAATATGCAGCATGCCATTGACAAAGTCAAGGTCATTAGAAATGACAGCATGAAATTCTTCTCAAGTCAAAACAAAAAGAAGCATTGAAAGTCACTGGGAGAGACAAAATAAAATTTCTGTCTAGGCCACAAGTCTGTAATAGAGAAACACAAGTTTGTGACATAAAAATAGCTTAACATAGGTAGTATATGTAGAAAAATTTGCTACATGATACTCAGGTGCAGTCAGGGCACTCAGGGCCTGTGGGTCTGTTGTCAGATTAAAGTGGATAATGAATGTTAGATGTCCCAGTTTATGTACAGTAGGTTACTTTTCAAGGTCCTGACTGTGCATTGTCTTTTGATTCTGTGACGTTGTCCTCTGTAATGTAGTCTTAATGAGTGAAGTGTTTGGTGACTGTTCAATTTTCTAGTTTAAAATCTGATTTCAGAGGAATTGGTTGAGATAAAACTTGACATTAGCACAGGAAATCTGGAAGAAGGCACATGGTTTAGTCATCAAGGAAGCCTGGGATTTCTGAGCAAATCTAATCTTCTGTAAGTTAAACCTTGACATTTCATGTCAAAATGTAAAGCTATTACATTGGTCTAGGACTATGTTTTAAACCAGAGAGTACTGAAAGAGTACAGGCCTTAACGTATCCACTTTTAACAAACCAAAAATATTTAGAAATTTAAATTTGAATTATTTTTTTAATACCCCCCGCAAATGAAGTTTGGGGGGGGGGGTATATTGGAATCAGCTTGTCCGTCTGTCTGTCCATCTGTCTGTAGTTGAGATTTTGTCTGGACCATTTCTTGGAAACTGTTGCAAGGATTTGTCTGAAAATTTGTACACTTATTCTTTGCCATATGAAGGTGTGCACCTGATATTTTCATCATGATTGGATAATTTTTTTGCATTTTACAGGTGTTTTTTTCATTTTTATTATGTAGTTTTGTCCGGATCTGTTCCCAGAGACTATTGCATAGATTTGTATGAAAATTTGTACACTTATTATTTACCATATGAATATGTGCACCTGGTATTTTCAACATTATTTGATAATTTTCTGCATTTTACAGGTGTTTTTTTTTTTTTCATTTTTATTGACTTAGTCATTTCGGGTTCATGTCTAAGGTTTGAGACATAGAATCTAGAACATCTGTACAAAAATGTGAACTTCAGCTTAAAACTACTCATTAGAACTTAAAAAAAAATCACAAAGTATTAAAAACAGTTTTTACATTACACAGCAGATAGTGTAAATCCATTTGTCCCTTGGGAGTAATGAGTGGACATGCATCCAGTTAAAGATTAATTAATGAGTTCTGTGTGGGAAGCTGTTAGGGCATCTCTGATCAAGCAGGTCTTATCTATATCTCCTGGGAATTGGGCAGAAAGAAATAAAGATCTCTGTTGTCTTAGTCTCTTAATTGTAATTTATGTCTGTCAAAATACATACCCGGTAGTTACTGGAACCAGCCTTTTATTTTTAAAATGAGTTTGATATAAAGGTATTAAGATCAATTTGATTTTGTATAATTAATTATGATATTTTTTTTTCAACAAACAATTTGCAGAGTGTCATGTCTCACAAAGATGACAGATAGTTGCAAACTATTTTTTCAATGTAATAAAAAACACTGTAATTACTAGTATTGATGTTTTATTAGGCTGCACCTTAGTTTCATTCATTAAAAAAAAAATATAATGAAATTTTCACTCTAAATGTTTAAGCAAATTGTGAACACCTCTCACATCTAGAAAACATTAGTGATTTGGTACTTTCTCTGAAAAACCCAGCGGGGGGTATTTGTCCCTTTTGGACTGTTCTAGTTTTTTTTAATCTGTAAAAGTAGGGGTAAAATCTCATTGTTGAGGTATTGATTATTATGCAAAAACATTATTTTACCTGAAAGTTGTTGTATGCTTTGTAACTAAAACATTCATAATTTAAAGTTACATTTTGTCTATCTCCCTTGCAAAGTTGCTCTTCGTTCCTCTCTTAGACACCTCTGCAATTGGCTCACGTCAAGCTTTTTAACACAAAGCATAAAACAAAATGTAATATAATAATAATGATATTCCAATGATTATTTCAAATTAAACTAATAGTTCTAGATCTATTTACTAAATATCTATCTTAAAAAAACAAACAATAGCACAAACATTTAATACTGAATTTAAAAAAAATGCACTATTTCTTGTGCTTATCACTGTGATTTGCAGAGGTGAATGTATAAGCCAACGGTAGAGAGTGAAATTTGTCTTCATTTTGATTCTGGTGTTAATTTTTAGTCTTTTGTAAATACAAATGATTTAAATGCACACTAATTTCCAGTGTACTAGCTTGGGCTATATGGGCCGTTGATATTGGCCTGGGTAGTTCTGTGGTTAGAGCACCTGGGGTCCTGGGTTTGAAACCCGGTCAAGTTATATATATTCTTTATTCATTCCTCCTTTCCTACTACACCAGTATTCCAAAGTTTGATTCTTACTTGCACACCAGTATTTATTTTTCCTAAAATTATTGTAAATCCATCCTCAAATTCTCTAGATATCTTTTAGAAAAGCAGACAGACAGGTGATCAGCTAGACAAACTCTACTGAGAGCTTAACTTCCTCCCAAACTTTTGTTTACAGAGGTAAATATCATCATATAGTGAGGTAATGTATGTTTTGAAATATTTTCAATAGATTATTTGACCTGACCTCTGGGAGATTGGTAGACAATATCATGCCACCAGAGGGAGCTGATTTTGAGGGCATTTGCTGCGGTAGTCCAGCGACAGTAACTCCTGCTGTATATACAGAAAACAATTTATATTTACTCATGGTAAAAACACTGGTTTATTTGTTTCTTTTATTTGCATGTAATTTTTGAAAACTTAAATTTGGAAAATTGGCACGGATGTATGAATTGTATTGAAACAGAAACATGTACATATTAACAATAATTTTCAAAACAAGTGTAGAACTACAGTGTAATTTGTTACTTTAAATGAAATTTGAGGGGTACATGTATATACGATTAAACCTCTCTGTCTCATTATCCCTCTGACACAAACTATGGAAAGCATATTTTCATATCATGTCTAGAGCTGACCATATCTCAGTGATTAAGAAATGTTGTTAAAAAAACTGAGTTGACAAAGTTCAGTACAAAATAATGTACCTGTAATTATGTATTTAATATACATCAGAAGCAGAGAAGGAAGGAGGAGTGGGATTTGACTACAACATTGTCATCTGAGGATTTTCAAACAACAGCGCTTCAGATAGCCCACCTTGAACAGGTATTTATTGTGGGTTTATACTCATAAATCCTAATAGGGTAAATATGCATGTAGTATCTGTCCACACAAGCTCTTTTTATTCATGTAACTTGAACTCATAAATCCTAATAGGGTAAATACGCATGTAATATCTGTCCATACAAGCTCTTTTCATGTAACTTGAACTAAGTGGCCATTTTCTGAATTTCAATGCTTCTTCCATTGTCGCTATCTATTTCATCACTTCCACAGTTAATCTTTAGCTAACCTGAGCAAAAGGCTTAAGTGAGCTTTTCTGATCAAAAAGTGTCTATCTGTCTGTTGGGTGTTGTCTGTAATCTTCTCACATTTTTTACTTCTTCTCCAGTACCAATGGACTAATTTCACCGAAACTTATCATAAAGCATCCTTGGGAGAAGGGAATTCAAGTTTGTTCAAATTAAGGGTAATGCCCTCTTTCAAAGAGAGAATAAGAATTAGTGAAAAATTAATTGCATTTTTCAGTCATCTTTTTCAAGAACCACTGGGCCAAAGATGAAACTTATTTGAAAGCTTCATTACATAGTGTAAATTCATAGGAATATATATGAAAAAATCTTTAAAAATCTTCTTATGAAGAACAGCAAAGCCATGATTAATCATATTAATATGGAAGCATCCTCAAGTAGAGTGGATTCATTTGTTCAAATCATGACCCCGGGGGTAGGGTGGGGCCACAATAAGTGATCAAAGTTTTACACAGGAATATACATGTAAAGGAAAAAATCTTTAAAAATCTTCCTGTTAAGAAAGCAAAGTCCTGATTAGTCAATTAGTCAGTGGTAGGATTTGGGCCACAATAGGAGGTCAAAGTTTTACACAGGAATATATTGGAAATCATTTTCTGAAGAAGAACAGGAGGACCAAAGTGACTCAGTTGATCCCATAGGCCTCTTGTTTTGATTCCTTATCATGTTGGAGAAACCCTAGTGTGCATTTGATCGGTTGTCTTGATGCCTAAGTAATGAAGTATACATCCTTCGAAGAAATATAAGTTTTGCAAAGGGAGAAAAGAGTTCTAGCTTTCCTTGATTTTTTTAATAGTCAAAAGACACTTGTCAAACTTCATGTTTTTGACAATTAATGAGATAGATTGAGAATCTGGAGTTGGAGAAAAAATTGGTATCTGATGCCATAGTTATGGAACCTATATTTATTACTAACCTTTATTTCTTTGCATTGCAAACCTGTTAATTGTTTATAGTAGGGCTGTGCAATAATATCAATATTCTGGTATATTGTGATTCATTAACAAAAAATATCGTATTGCAATATGTTTTTCCAGTACCAATATACTGACAAAATGCCTGAGTTTTAGATTTCTAAAGTAAAATATGAAATTTAATATGTCAGAAACGTTTTCAATCGTGCCAAACACTAAGGTTGCTGTTGTAGGTTGCATTTCATTGCAAAACTGTAGTGAAATCAAACAAGAGTCTTTTTGTTACAATGTATTTATAATAGTTATATACACTCTGCTTATGAATGGTTAAAAAAATTGGAAAAGAGCATTTTAACTGTTATTGAAAATATTGCAATACATATCGCAATACAGTTAAAAATATTGCAATATATCGCAATACAAAATACCCAGCCCTAGTTTATAGTAATTAAATATCCTTAGGATTAGTTCATATTTTTCTTGTTAAGGAGAAAACAGAGAATCCCTCTACAAGTATTCAGAAAAAGCTATCAGAATTACAGCAGACATGGTCCAAATCAAAAGATCAAAAACCTGCCACAAAACTTGCAGAGATTGTAGGTAAGAACCCGTATATTCTGTCTATGTTACTAAAATAAGTAGTTGTCATTTGGTTATGTTCCATCTCATCATTTCATTTAAAATGTTTTTGTTTTTACTAGTTTTTCAGTAGTAATTCAAATGTTTTAAAGAAGTAAGTTTGTATTATTGTATTATAAAGTATGATTTTATCAGATTATTGGCACACTTTTGTTCTCAACAGAGCCATACCTAGATGAATATTGGAAGATTGAGAAAATTCCAACCAAAGCATTTCAAGTAATAACTTTATATTTTACTTAGATTAGATTTTCACTTCCAGCATATTATGAACAATCCTTGAGAACAAATTTTGTCTTCATAATGACCGAAAGTACAGTATTTTTCAATTATGACAATATTTTTTTATAGATATTTTATAGAATTGAGATTATGTATGCCACTGTCAAGTTTCATAGGTACATGTAGATGAGTGTAACAATGTATACTTTTTTTATCTACCTTGTATAATAATCAAATTTAGAAAACAGTTGAAAATTGGGTGGGAATGGCACAATTTGCAAGTGAAATATAGTCAAATTTCAACTATCAAACCAAAAATGGGGGGGGGGGGGCCTTGAGTTATTCACATCCATTGCAGTTCTTTAAATCTTTGGAAAAAAAAGTTCAGTACAGTCAAAGTAGGATTAGATCTACTAAAACTATGGAGAAGTTTAATAAACTAATGTACTAAGTGTGAATAATCTCTTTATTTTATGATTGACAGCCCTCAAGGTCAGCCTGCCCCGCCTCCGTGGATGAAGAAGTTCTCCATGTGTTGGACCCTAAGTCTAGTATCCCCATGTCTGGTCGCCATGCACGCCTCCTCTCCCTGGCCCACTCACACCCAAAACAAGTCCTCGCTGTCCTAGAATCACAGATGGAGTTTCACACAGGTTTGTAGTGGGATTTAAATGGTAAATGATATAGGAAACCAGTCAAATGTAGCATTAATCTTTCTACAAAATACAATGGAAATTGATGTGCTTTGTTAAAGGATTTTATCTTGTAATAATTGTTGCTATGGAGATGATGATAGTAATACCATCTTTATCACAGATGATATTAAATGCATTGTAGTAGAAAGTTATGTCATTGATATTAAGTGTCTAGGGATTATTTTAAAAAAAGTTTTGTTGTATGAATGGTATATGTATGACATTTTTTCTGTAGGTGACATCAGTACGGCCCAGATCCAGCGCTGGCAGTGTATTCTGGCTCCAGATACGTCACCGAGTCCTGTCAGTAGTGATGTAGCTGTGCCAATGTTTGAGCACATCTGTCGTCTGCTATACCAACTTCAACCAAACAAACTGGTATGGATTTAAAATTTTTACTTTTGTATGGATAATAAATCAAACAAGTCTATGAGTTCTGTAGGAAAGAAATGAACAAAATCTGATTTTATTATTTATTAGTATGTTGTCCAAATATTTTTTGTTTTTGGTGTACATTGTATTTTCATAAAACATGAAATGCCTGGGTTTTTTTTGTTTTTTTATCATCATATTCATAAAGTAATATTTGGCAACCAACCTATTATTGATGTATTTGAAACATGTATCAAAATATTTCAAAAATGTACAAGTATGTTATGACTATAAACAATTGAGTTTAAATTAAACAAGGTCCCACCTTAGGAACATACTTCATGTATATACATGTACCAGCAATCACATTCAGACAAAATACCCTGGTAATGCTCAAATAAAACAGAGTTACAAAATACCAATAACTTGATCCAAAAAAGTTGATTTAAAAAAACTCAATTAAAAAATAAGTGTTCTCTAGTAAATTATTCTTATAAAGAATGTGCAATTTTTTTTTTTTAATTAAATTTACTACGTGTATTTATTTATTTTGTAGATGCAGTTTGTGAAAATTTGCCAAATGATCAATGACCAAAAAGTGGGAGTATCTGCATTTATTAGAAAACGTCAAGCTGTATGTACAAGTTGTTTTTCTTGTAATTTCAAATTTCTTTTACATTGTTTAATTAATCATCTTTTATAACTGTACAAAAATCATCCAAATTCATCATATTTATTGTCTTGATAAAAATTATTCATGAATTTTTAAAAAGATTAATATATAGTAAAGTAATGTGTCACCATTCTCGGACTCAATCAATTTCAAAAAATAAGATTGCTTGTAAAGTATGAAATCAATTCGCCATCTCCAACTGGGTTGTTAATTTACCAGATTCAGTATTATGAGCGAGCTGTGAGCTGTGTACAGGACTTAGAGGAAGTAGTTACCTCCCCTGAATCAGCCAAAGCATTTGTCTCACTGCTTCTGGCCAGGTGAGTCCCATAGAATTTTACATTAAAAATAATTTCATTTTTATTGGAGAATAGTTTTGATGTCATTCCTCAAAGTAATAAGCTCTTATAGAGTAGCCTCCCTCTTCCTCAGAATCTGTGTACAATCTATTAATGAAATAAATGGTCTGTGTAGTTCTTCAATATCACTCTAGCATCCATTTGTCTCTCACCAGGGCTGATTAACAGTTTCAATCAAGGAGCCTGAAGAAGTCTCAAATGTTCCATAATTTAACCTCACCATTTAGAATTTCATGAAAATACTAATGCCTTACCATTCTGTTATTCAGCAAACAAGAGAACTGTGAGATGAAGGCACTGAAGTTCTACCTGGACCACAGACACTGGGAGCTAGCTCTGGATTTACTCGGGGATCATAGTGACGACTCACCACTTCACTTCAAACTCTTCCACTGTCTCCTGGACAGAATCAACAAGGTATTTGATTACTTAACTGGAAAGGGAGATAATCTGTCAAGAATACATGTAAATAAAAAGAGGAATTTAGGAATATACATTGTTTTCTTGATTTATTACAATTTTTTAGCTTATTTACAAAAAAGGAGTAAACCTGATCTCAGTAGTTTAATCAAGGACATTATTTGTAAAAAATCAATTTAAATTTGAGGGAGGGGGAACTCCTGAAAGTCAAAAGCAATTATTCTCTAATATTTTTATATTCATGTATTTACAGGAGAATGTTTTGACAGACTACATTGTGAGAACGTTTTCACTAATGCCAAATATCAAAAGGTGAGGATGTAGTTACAATAATCATGGTACAGTATATACATGTATGAACATTGCCTTATTTGATTTATAGAGAATTAGAAAAAGTAAAGAACAGGTGTATGGTGAGTCTCGCAAATGCTTTCATAGATTTATTATCACCCGCAGGAGCAGGTGATCTTTTTGTGATTGTGTTAGAAAGTGCACAGTGAAAATAAGACATTATTTTTTTATCGATAGCTTAATTCCTTAATGATAACATGTAATATATTTGAGTTTTATTTCATTTTTAAGTGGATGATTTTATCAAAAAAGGGTGTACAAAGAGGCACTCCCCGACATTGGAGTGTGTAACATGAATGCAAATCATTATGTTTTTAGCTCACCTGAGCTGAAGGCTCAAGAGAGCTTTTCTGATCACATTTTGTCCGGCATCCGTCTGTCTGTCTGTCCGTCTATCTGTCTGTAAACTTTTCACATTTTTGACTTCTTCTCAAGAACCACTGGGCCAAATTCAACCAAACTTGCCACAAAGTATCCTTGGGTAAAGGGGATTCAAGTTTGTTCAAATGAAGGGCCACGCCCTCTTTCAAGGGGAGATAATTAGGAATTAGTGAAAAAATAATGGCATCATTTAAAAATCTTCTTCTCAAGAACCACTGGGCCAGGAAAGATGAAACTTATGTGGAAAACATCCTCAGGTAGTGTAGATTCAAGTTTGTTCAAATCATGACCCCCGGGGGTAGGGAGGGACCACAATGGGGGATCAATGTTTTACATAGAAATATATAGGAAAATATCTTTAAAAATTTTCTTCTTAAAGGTGCTTAGACACAGACTTGAACTTAATATTTTCTCAAATTTTCTGTATAATATCACGACTTATATATTGCAATAGCATTTCACTCGAAAAGATAATAAAAAACTTATTTCATCTGGAAAATATTGGAACTACGAATTTTGGGACGCGTTTGGTTAACACATCCTTGCACTTTCACAAAATTTTAATTTTATCCTTAATATTTAAGAAAAGTAGCAATTTTGTGAAAGTGCAAGGATATGTCTATCAAACGCGTCTAGAAATTCGAAGTTTCAATAACTTCAAGATAAAATAAGATTTTTATTAGGTCACCTAAGTCACTCAGGTGACCTATTGCTATCTGTTTTCGTCCGTTGTCGTGCATCGTGTGTTAACATTTGAACATTTTCAGCTTCTTCTCTGAAACCGCTGAACCAATTTCAGCCAATTTTAGCATATTGCATCTATGTGTGAAGGGGAACAAAATTTGTGAATTTCATGGTCCCTGCCCCCCTAGGGCCTGAGGGGTGGGGCTAAAACCACCAAAATTAATTCAATCTTTAAAAATCTTCTTCTTTACTCCTGGACATCAAGCAGTCAAACTGTTGGCATGATTGTAATGAGCATTAAGCCCTCTACCAAAATTATGAAATTCATGGCCCCAGAGTCGGGGGTTCTGGTGCTAGGGCAGGGCTATATAGATCATATAGTGAAAGTGCATTATTTCTTTGAAAATCTTCTTCTCTACTCCTGAGTATTATTGAAACAAATTGAATACACAGTTATGATAAGCAAGAGTGACTCTACAAAACTTTTGAAATTCATGGCCCCAGGGTCAGGGTTCTGGTGCTAGGGCTGGGCTATATAGATCATATAGTGAAAGTGCATTATTTCTTTGAAAATCTTTTTCTCTACTCCTGGGTATTATTGAATCAAATTAAATACATAGTTATGATAAGCAAGAGTGACTCTACCAAAATTGTGAAATTCATGGCCCCAGGGTCAGGGGTTCTGGTGCTAGGGCGGGGCTATATAGATCATATAGTGAAAGTGCATTATTTCTTTGAAAATCTTCTTCTCTGCTCCTTGGTATTATTGAAACAAATTAAATACATAGTTATGATAAGCAAGAGTGACTCTACCAAAATTGTGAAATTCATGGCCCCAGGGTCAGGGGTTCTGGTGCTAGGGCGGGGCTATATAGATCATATAGTGAAAGTGCATTATTTCTTTGAAAATCTTCTTCTCTACTCCTGGGTATTATTGAAACAAATTGAATACATAGTTATGATAAGCAAGGGTGACTACCAAAATTGTAAAATTCATGGCCCCAGGGTCGGGGTTCTGGTGCTATGGCGGGGCTATATAGATCATATAGTGAAAGTGCATTATTTCTTTGAAAATCTTCTTCTCTACTCCTGGGTTCTATTTAAACAAACGACCGGTAAGTACATTGTTATGGTACATTGTTATGATACGCAAGGATGCCTCTTCCAAAATTGTGAATTTCATGGCCCCAGGGTCAAGGGTACTGGTGAAAAAGGGGGAAGGGGGGGGGGCTCTATTGATTATAAAGTGATAAAGCAAAATTTCTTTGAAAATATTCTTTTCTGCTTCTGGTTAAAAAGCAAAGAAGGTAAGTATATAGTTATGATAAGCAAGAGTGCTTCTTCCAGAGTAGTGAATTGCATGACCCCTGGGTCAGATGTACTGGTGTAAGGGTAGGGCTCTTGATAATATAGTGAAAATGCATTAATTCTATCAAATAATCCTGTCGGCTCCTTAGTGCTAAGGAGATAAGCAAAGTGATTACTTATGATGAGCAAACCTCTGGTCCCAGGGTGAGTGGCTCTGGTGTTTCTCGATGGGGAGGGGGGGCTCTATTGATAATATAGTGAATCTGTAGTAAAAATGCATTATTTCTTTAAAAATCTTCTCTGCACCTGGGCATATCAGAAGCAAAAAGAGTATAAGTTTTAATAAGGAAGGGTATTTTTACCAGATTTTTGAACATCTGGACCATTTGGTCAAGTGTTCTGGTCCTGGCCAGGGCTCTATTAATTTGTATTCTACTGAGAGGAGTTATTCCCCTTTGCCATTTACTTTTGATAATTAATCACTGTAAATAATATACTTGAAAGGTTAATAGAATAAGAGAATTATGCAAGAATTTTTATTGTATAATACAGAAAGTACTTTCGTAGTTTTAATGATCAGGTAGACTTGTAAGTAATAGATAAATAAAAATAAGGGTGGGTAAAAATAAGGGTTGATAAAAATTAGACAAAAATAACTTGTCTTATTAAATGTTCATCAAAGACCAAGAGAGGCCAATGTAAGAGATTTCAACAAGGAATTAAAAAAGTAGAGAAGCACTGATAGTTTGTAAATGTACTGTATGGTGAGAGTGATAAATGGGGAACAGATTAGAACCTAATTTATGAACTGTTAATGAATTCTAGACTAATTATTTTGTTGATCCTAATCACCCTATTTTTCTTGCTTTTGGGCAACAAAGCTTTACCTTTCAGTTCATTTTCTACTCTATGGATCCTCTAAATTGTTGTGCAATACTCAGGTGACCGTTAAGGCCCTTGGGCCTCTTGTTATATTTAAGTATGAAATGGTATAGCAACTTATATATCATGAAATTATACAGAAAATTTGAGAAAATATTAACTTCAAATCTGTGTCCAAGTACCTTTAAGAACAGCAAAGCCATGATTGGTCATATTTATATGGAAGCATCCTCAGGTAGTGTAGATTCAAGTTTGTTCAAATCATGACCCCCAGGGGTAGGGTGGGGCCACAATGGGGGATCAAAGTTTTACATAGAAATATATAGGAAAATATCTTTAAAAATCTTCTTCTTAAGAACAGCAAAGCCATGATTGGTCATATTTATATGGAAGCATCCTCAGGTAGTGTAGATTCAAGTTTGTTCAAATCATGACCCCCGGGGGTAGGGTGGGGCCACAATGGGGTATCAAAGTTTTACATAGAAATATATAGGAAAATATCTTTAAAAATCTTCTTCTTAAGAACAGCAAAGCCATGATTGGTCATATTTATATGGAAGCATCCTCAGGTAGTGTAGATTCAAGTTTGTTCAAATCATGACCCCCGGGGGTAGGGTGGGGCCACAATGGGGTATCAAAGTTTTACATAGAAATATATAGGAAAATATCTTTAAAAATTTTCTTCTCAAGATCAGCAAAGCCATGATTGGTCATATTTTTATGGAAGCATCCTCAGGTAGTGTAGATTCAAGTTTGCTCAAATCATAACCCCTGAGGGGTAGGTGGGGCCACAATGGGGGATCAAAGTTTTGCATAGAAATATATAGGAAAATATCTTTAAAAATCTTCTTCTTAAGAACAGCAAAGCCATGATTGGTCATATTTATATGGAAGCATCCTCAGGTAGTGTAGATTCAAGTTTGTTCAAATCATGACCCCCGGGGGTAGGGTGGGGCCACAATGGGTGATCTAAGTTTATAGAGGAATATATAGGAAAAAATCTTTTTCTCAAGAAAAGAAAAGCCATGATTAGACAAATTGATATGGAGGCATCCTTGGGTAGTGTAGAATGAAATGTGTTCAAATGAGGGCCCTTGGGGGTAGGGTGGCACCACAATGGGGGATCAGATTTTTACAAATGAAAATATGGGAAAAAATTTGCTGCTCAAGAACATCAAAGCCATTTGTTATGTTGATATAAAAGCATCATCAGATAGTTTAAAATCCCCCCCCCCCCCGTAAACTTTTCAATACTGAACTGATTTTTGCTTTTTAGCTCACCTGAGCTTGAGCTGAAAGCTCAGTTGAGCCTTTCTGATCACCATTTGTCTGTAGTTCGTCTGTCCGTCCGTCTGTCTGTAAACTTTTCACATTTTCAACTTCCTCTCAAGAACCACTGGGCCAATTTCAACCAAACTTGCCACAAAGCATCCTTGGGTGAAGGTAGCTGCAATAATGTAGCCCTCTCCGATTTTTTTAATCTGCTATTTTCTGGAGCGGGGCCACAATGGAGGATCAAAGTTTAACATAGAAATATATAGGAAAAACCTTTAAAAATCTTCTTTTCAAGAACATCAAAGCCATGAAGAGTCATATTTATATGGAAGCATTATCAGGTAGTGTAGATTCAAGTTTGTTCAAATCATGACCCCCGGGGGTAGGGTGGGGCCAAAATGGAGGATCAAAGTTTTACATAGGAATATATAGGAAAAACCTTTAAAAATCTTCTTTTCAAGAACAGCAAAGCCATGATGAGTCATATTTATATGGAAGCATTATCAGGTAGTGTAGATTCAAGTTTGTTCAAATCATGACCTCTGGGGGTAGGGTGGGGCCAAAATGGAGGATCAAAGTTTTACATAGAAATATATAGGAAAAATTTTAAAAATATTTTTCTCAGGAACAGCAAAGCCCTGATTGAACATATTTATGTGGAAGCATCCTCAGGTAGAATAGATTCTATTTTGTTCAAATCATGACCCCCTGGGGATAGGCCGGGGCCACAATGGAGGATGAAAGTCTTAGATAGAAATATGTAGGAAAATTTTCTTTTTCTGAAAATCTGCAAAGCAATGATCAGTCATTTTGATATTGAAGCACCCTCAGGTATTCAAGTTTGTTAAAATGATGTCTCCTGGGGATAGGGTGGGGCCATAATGGGAGATCGAAAATTTTACATAGGAATATATAGGAAAATATCTTCTTCTCAAGAACTAAAAAACATGTTTAGTCATTTTGATATGGAAGTATCCTCAGGTAGTGTAAATTCAATTTTGTTCAAATGATGACCCCCGGGGCCTAGGGTGGGGCCCAATGGGGGACCAAAAGTTTTACATAAGAACACATAGAAAAAAATATTTCTTCTCAAGAACAGAAAAGCTATTTTAGTCATAATGATATGGAAGCATCCTCAGGTAGTGTAGATTCAAGTTTGTTCAAATGATGACCCCTTGGATAGGGAGGAGCTACAATGGGGGATCAAATTTTTACAAAGGAATATATGGGAACATTTTTTTTAAAATCTTCTCAAGTACAACAAAGCCATATGTTATATTGACATGGAAGACATGGCATCATCAGGTAGTTTAAAATTCAACACCCCCCCCCCCCCCCCCCAGTTATCTTTTCAATGCTGAGCTGATTTGTGCTTTTGCCTAGCCAATGTGCTCAGGTGAGCGATGTGGCCCATGGGCCTCTTGTTTTCCTAGCCAATATGCTCAGGTGAGCGATGTGGTCCTATTGTTTGAATATTTATTACAATGCCATAAGTGATTAAAAAAAAGTGATTAAAAACTAGAGGTACTGTGAGTAGGTACTTTGAGCAACGAGCTCACAAAATGATACCTTCAGCTCCCAGATGATTATAATGGCAAAGTTCATTTTTTTTTGCCATGGGAAAGCCCAAATATCTGTCCAATCAAAACATAAAGCCACTTCTGTATATCTTACAATTTGTGTTTTTTTGTTTTTAGCTCCATATAAGCTATAGTTTTGAAATAAAAATATTTATACTTTTTCTACTTTGAAAATTTACTTTCCTTGGACTTTTTCTTGTGAAAACATATTAAGATGCTCTCTTTTTTGCGGCCAATTTTGCATCAACCTTAACTTGTTTCTAGTATTAGAAATCATGAATATATTTCTTCAGAATCAATAGTCCAATAAGTCTTACATGTTTAATTATGTATATTTTGATGGAAAATCACTATATTTTAAATGATTTATTCTGGAGAGTAGTAGGATACCTGTATACAGTACAATTTGTTTAGTATACAAACACGGATATAGCTAATTAATGGATATAGTGAAGTTTTTTTTTTTTTTGGATCCCTGTTAAAATTCTTAACAATTCTTTGTAAAAACTTAAGGTTATAAGGAACTCTGATAAAGTGAACTGATTTTGTGTCCTGCAGAGATTTAAAAAAAATTGAAATTCAAATCATTTTAAAAAAAAATATACAAAGATCTCAAAAATTGAATTAGTGAATTGATATTGAATTGACATTAATTTTGGTAAGACAGTTATACATGTATTTACATTCAGTTTATCAGAAAACTGTAGCAATCCAGGTAAATTTTGTATTTAATACTTCCGAGGACATATTTGGAACTCATTATCAAAGGAAAGCAAGTATTTTGCAAATTCACTATATTAACCCAAAAGAATTCATTATGCAAATATAAGTATATAACAAATTACAGATATAGCAAGTAAATTCACAGATTGGCAGGATTTTATTATAATTGAGTTTTACTCTATTATTATAACATTACAATAAGTAAAACATTACTTCCTCTTACAGCTCATGAAATTTAATTTTGTATCAAATCTTTCAATCTTCTACAAAAAAAGTATTCACAAATAATTTTTTTTTACAGTGCTTATATTGAAATGGTGATTTTTACATACAAAGTAGTCATAATTTGCATACAACATTCCAGTATATGTATATAGTGAAATAGGTTTGCTTATTTGTATTAAAAATAAGTAGATTAAGATTTTTTTTTAATTTTACATTTATTTTTGTCATTTGCCTTTTTTTTTTTTTTTTATACTTTTTAAATATCATTAAGGTATATATTGTCATATAAAATATAGACCCAAAAGTGATGATTTTATTTAACCTAGCCATATTTGAAAATTCTGGAATGAATTTTATATGATTACTATTTTTAGCTTTACCTCAGTGACACAACTTATCTCCCCTTGTGACACTTGGACTGCGGCTGAAGTTTTCTCCCCTAGTTCTGTTCCATTTGGACAAGTTAAGTCAATACTACTCAGTAAACTGGTGGATAAAAGCCCAGCAGACTGACCAATCAGGGAATTTATAGACTAAAGTATATCTAAGGTTGTTAAATATGCCAAATATTTATTTTTAGATTTCATACTATCATTGTCTTTCAAGAGACTTTTAGTTAAGATGTAAATATGTGTATGTCAAAAGGTGCAATACTGAGAGACGAATTAAGTGCATTTCAAGCAAAATTGTTGAGACCTTACCAATACCTGACCAGGTTCATATAGTCATGAGTAGACTGAATTGAAAGGTCAATAACCATTTCATTAAATGATCCAGAATTTTACAACATCTCCACACCACAGTTTTTGTCTTCAGTTAAAAACACTTACATGTATACTACAATATGTTGTGTAAGAACATATCATAATAATATTATATTTCAACAGTTTAACAAGTGTTTAAGAAAGTGGAAAACTACATAATCAAACAATAAATTCTCAACCATTTACTAATAAAGGTGTTTAGTTTCTTCGATACTGGTGTTTGCCTTTTTACATCTACAAAGACACATGCCATAAAATGCTTAATTTGATTGGTCAGTGAAAACTTAAGCAAATCTATGGTTGGTCAAGAGAGAAAACCGCAATAAACGTCTTGGACTTCATTTAAGGAATAACTGTCTAATTTTTTGGTTTCATGATGTGATCAATCGATTGGCTTGCGTGATAATTTGCATAAACGCCTTCGGCGTTTATGCATAAAATTATCACAGAAACCAATCGATTGATCATCGTCATGAAACCAAAAAATCTGACAGTTATTCCTTATATTTACATGCTCTTGATTCTGCAAATTCACATGCTACAAGCCCCGCTTCTGTCTCTGTCTGTCCTGCCCCGCACGTGATTTTTTTTTTCACCACACCTATTGATGAACCAGTAGATTTATGTAGAAATAAAGTATTTTTACTATTTGAAATTTTATCTCAGACAAAGACATTGGAAATGTAAATATTTTGAGTTGAACTCCTCAGGAAAGAGAATCTGGACCAACCATAGAGCATCAAATTTCCTAATCATTTAATAAAATTACATATATTCAAGGTGTCTATGGTTTGTAAAATTGTTTCTTCATGCTACAATTCATGACTCTCGAACAGTGCCTATTATTATGTCATGTTGTGTAACATAATATTCTTTTATGAGTGTTTCATGCAGTAATAATGAGTAGAAAGTTTTGAAGAGTTTTAGTAAAGGGAGAAAAGGTTCCATAATGTGTGCTCGTTACTAACGTAGGTTAACTTTTTAATTGTCAACTCCCTCTTGTCTACTGACAAGTAAAGAGATTAAGGAACTTGAGTTGCTCTAAGTGTTACAAAAGAACGACAACTCCTTACTGGTTGTATATTGATTTTCAAGACTTCCTTCACTTGACAGACTTCATCCAATCGTAAGCCAGAATTTTATAAAAATCATCAGAGGTGGGGTAAAATACTGTAATAAATTTATTACTGTATTATAACAGTAACTTGATCCAAGGAGCCGCATCACATCTCGTTGACAGACGCAGATCATCAGATCAAACTCAACACTTTGTGATATGGCTCTTTGGATCAAGTAACTGTTATGATGATATATATTTGTTTACCCCTCAGGACTTTAAGCACAATGTGTTTGCATTATAAGATAGAGCAATAAGGCTTTTCCTGAAACTAACTTGAGAAACTTGGATATGTTGTAATAGACATATATGAGTATGAGAGGTAATATGTAGTGATACTCAAGTGATTGTCAAAATCCATTACCCTTTTATCTTTGACATAATATAAAGGCCTGGGAAATTGAAATTATGCACAAAATGTTATGTATTTTTAGATCACCTGAGTCACTCAGGAGACCTTTTGCATCCATTTTCATCCTTGTCATGTGCTTTAACATTTGAACATTTTCAGCTTCTTTTCTGGAACCGCTGAACCAATTGCAACCAATTTTGACATACAGCATATATGGATGAAGGGGAAGAAAAATTATGAATTTTATGGCCCCCTTCCCCCCCCCCCTTCCCCCGCGGAGCCTGAGAGGTGGGGCTTAAACCATCAAAATTAATGCAATCTTTAAAAATCTTCTTCTCTACTCCTGGACATCAAGCAGTCAAACTGTTGACTTGATTGTAATGAGCACTGGGTCCTCTACCAAAATTGTGAAAATTCATGGCCCCAGGGTCAGGGTTCTGGAGTTAGGGTGGGGCTGTATTGGTGATATAGTGAAAATGAATAAATTCTTTAAAAATCATCTCTTCCCCCTGTATAAAAAGCAGATAAATTAGGTGCATGGTTATGATGATCAAGGGTGCCTCTTCAAAATTAAAATTTGTGTCCCCAGCTTGAGGGGTTCTCTGAAAAAGGGCGTTTTATTGATTATATAGTGAATGAGCATTATTTCTTTGAAAATGTTCTTCTATGCTCTAGATATTTAGCAGATTAACCGAATACATGTATATAGTTATAATGAGCAAGAGCTCCACTTCCAAAATTATGAATATCTTGACCCTTGGGTCAGGGGTCATGGTGCTAGGGCGGGGATCTATTGATTATATATTGAAACTGCATTAATTCTTTGAAAATCTTCTTCTCTGCCCCTGGGTATATAGCAGATAAACCAAGTATATAGTTATGATGAGCAAGGGCAACTCTTCCAAAATTGTGAATATCTTGACCTCTGGATTAGGTGAAGTTGCATTAATTCTTTGAAAATCTCTGCTCCTGAGTATTTATCAGATAAACTTAGTGCATGGTTATGATGATCAAGGATGCCTCTTCCAAAATTGTGAAATACATGGCCCCAGGCTCAGGGGTTCATGTCCAGGGGAGTCTATTTAATATATGGTGGAAATGCATTTTTTTTTTTTTTTGAAAATCTTCTCTGCCCCAAGGTATTGAACAGAAAAACTAATTGCATGGTTATGACGAGCAAGGAAATCTTTTCAAAGAGTTTGAAATTCATAACTCCGGAGTCAGGGATTTTGGTTTTAGAGTGAGGCTCTTTTGAAAATATCTGTAGTAGAAAAGCATTATTTCTTTGAAAATCCTCTTCTCTGCCCATTATTATTAAGGAAATATACTAAGTGCGTGGTTATGATAAGCAATAGAGCCTCTTCCAAAATTGTGAATATCTTGGCCCCTTGGTCAGGTGCTTTGGTATTAGGGTGGGGCTATATCGAATCTATCAAGAAAATGAATTATTTCCTTGAAGATCCTCTTCTCCTCTCCTGGGCATCTAGGAGGCAAATAGAGTATATAAAAATGTAATAAGCAAGGATGTTTTTACCACATTTTGAAATTCTGTACTCTTGGTCAATTTATTTATTTCTACTGAAAGAAGTTATTCCCCTTTGCTATTCACCTATAATAGTTAATCACTGTAAATAATGTAACTTAAAAGGTCAATTGAATAACATAATTATAAAAGAAATTTTATAATATTTAATTCAGAAGTACTTACATAGTTTTTAATGGTCAGGTAATTTTTTAAATAATAGATAAATGAAAATGGGATAAAAATACCGTATCTTTCTACAATAAATAATCTTCAAAGATTACGAAAGACCTATGCGAGAAGGAATGAAATGTGTTAACTAATAGTGCTCTAGAACAATTATTTTGTTTAGTTGCATGAGGATAGTGACAAATGGGGAAAAGTACAGGCAAATAAGTAGATCGACTTTAAGATTTGTTATCGAGTACCAAAGTAATATTTTGCTGATCCCTGATCATCCTATTTCTCTTGCTTTTGGGCAACATAGCTTTATTTATCAGCTTATTTTGTTTTAATCTATGGATCGTTACATTATACTCAGGTGACCGTTAAGGCCCTTGCGACTCTTTTTTCCCATTTCTAATCTGACAACGAAATTTTGTTCCTACGAATTTAGGGTCACTGACTTGAACTATTTATAAATTTATAGAGATACGCTTACGTGTTTCTCTTTTTAACTTCGGTGTTTTCCAAACGGATCGGTCGTTTATTCCCTGGAATTACCACTTTTAGGTAAAATTAGGCCTAAAAATATTTTATTATGCAAGGAATTTTGACAGTTAAGCTAAATAATGTAGAGAATATTATTATAACTGGAGTTATGTTCGTAAAAACTAGAGATACCTTGGGTTGAATTTTTTAAATGATTCGCTCGATGAATCAGACACAAATATAACTGCTATTGAGACATGTTGATTTAATGCAAAAATACGTAGTACATAGTCATATTCACAATTTGTAAGACATTTTCATTTTTTCATTGAATGTGTATCTTATTAAATGATGGATATATATTATATGTATTAACAAATATGTTTACAGGTTTATAAATAATTAAGGGAATTCCCGAATGTTTAAAAATAGACCTGGTCAAGGATGCGTCTGCACTCTCCCCAGAATGTTTTTCTTTGGGGGGAATTACATATATTGTACATGATGTTATAATAAGTGTGATTTGATAAAGATTCTAACACAAGGAATAATTCAATGATATGTTGTTTTTTTTTTGGGGGGGGGGGCTTTGTTTAGAACACGTGGATATTAAATTCTTACATTTACATTATGAATTCTGAATTTTGAATTAGAAATAGATTTCAAAGTCTTCTTTTAGGGAAGTCCGACCTCTATACTTAACTATTTTTTTTTAAATAGAAGTTTGGAAAATTATATTGCATAAAGGAATAAATATTGATTTTATCAATTTCATCATACTAGCTAGTAGGTATCCGGTCATATATCCCAGGAAAATTGTCAAAGAGAACGAAGTTTTCATTGATAGAAATCATTCTTGCTTACTTGAATATGGAAAATACATGCAAAGAAAGTGTTCAATTAGTTTATCTTGGCCCAATATTTTTAATATTTGGAGTAGGCCTACTTGAATTGATAACAATTTGAGTATTTTAAAAATTAGACTAGGTTTTAATTTAATGCGCAGTGTATAGAGGCCGATCCTTAATCATTACTAGTAAAGGAATTCAAATAGAAATTTCGAATTTGTGTGTGCGTGTGTGTGTTTATTAGAGAATACGTTTATTGATGAAAAAATTGACATGAAATCAGGAAACAAATGAAAACGCTACAATTATTGGGTGCTTTCCGAGTATGATATGCAAAAATCACCGTTGTAAAAATAATTACCATTTGTGTACCAGGCAGTGGTACTATTGTGTACCAGTAAAATATTTGTTTACTGAGGCCATCCTTAAAATAAAGTTTGTTTGCCCTCTCCCGACTCAAGGTAAAAAAAAAATGTGGGAATTTTTTTTCTAAAAAAAAAAATTCAAAATACATATTGACGGGATGAGAAAATTCAGGAATATAAAGGAAAAAAATTATCGTTATACAGAGGTTAAAAAAGTTTAGTCGGGCCATTTTTAGCCAGTCGGTGGGAGAGGGCAAACAATTTTTTTTTTAAAGATGGCCTGATTGTAACCATTCTTGCAGGCAGATTAGAGTGTGGGAAATAACGTCATGAGTCATCTTTCATGGCGAAAATGCGCGCACTGAACACGTTTTAGACAATTGATTTTCCCCTTCATTATGTTTATTTGGGGAAATTGGGGGGGGGGGGGCTAAAAGATTCTACAGTCAAAAAAGTCTTGTAAATCTTGTTGTCTGACAGACAAGAGTAAACACCTCAAAGGCCCTAGACAAAATAAGTAATGGCAATGTGCACATTAATTTACTTAAAAAAAATGATTTAATTTATGAAAAGGGAGCTCACAATTTTTTAAAAATAGTTTTACCATAGCAACATCAAAAAAAATATTTGTTGTATTATAATTAGTGCCTCAATAATCTGTTTGTTATTAAAATATTTACAAAATTGTGTTACCAATGATACTTTTGCTGCCACTGGTAACTCTAGTAAAATTAAATACCATCGGTATGCCGAAACTGCTCTGGGTTTACCGGTACTAACCAATGGTACCATTGTCATTAATGGTGCCAGCGGTAAACCTGATAGAACTCTGAATGCACCCGTTGACTAATCAGGTGCTCTACCAACTGAACTATCTGACCACCGGCGATCGATCCCGGCTTGACTTTCTCCCTCCTTAAACGACTTTGCAGGCTCTTCCTCGGCAGGTCTTTCGATGTCATTTCCAGGGCATGTCAAGGCACCAAAAGTAACAGGAAAAAAATGCGACGAATCAGACAAGGATTCGACCCAGACCCCCTAAGTGACTTGTTAGGTGTTCTACCAACTGAGCTATCTGACCATCGGTAATCGAACCCCGCAGCTCGTTTAAGACTAGGGATTCTGGATGTCAACGTGTACCCGGTTAACCGGGTACTCTATCGAACGTCCGAATATCGAATACTAAAAATGGTACTCAGTTACTCGGATGTGTAATTTTTTTTTTCAAAGTACATTTTTTTTATCAAAAAATAACTTAAATATGCATACGGTAATTAGCATGTCGTCACCTACACTTGTAAAACACCCGTTATCGCCGTGGAGAAAGAGAGCCTATGGAAATAACAGGAATAAAAAATGATTAATTTTGAATTTGATATTTTAATTGATTTATTTCTGTGATTTCATGATAAAAAAAACTATTTTAAAACATAAAAAATATCATAAATACTAATACTATAATTATATTCATTTGGTTATCTCTGTCTCTCACTCTCTTTCTTTTTAATTAATTAATTAATTAATTCACCCATTCATTTTTATCTTTATAAAGTAAAAAAAAAAGGGGGGGGGCTGCACTAAGGATATTTGTCTAAATTATTAACTTCATCAGTTGGGTTGGGTAATTTAAATTTTCAAAATTTATTCTATTAAATTCATATTATAATGCATTGGTAAAATATAAAATACAGGTAATTCCAAGTAAATCCCAGACCAGTTTACCAGTTTATTAGTATCTCTTTGGTTGTTATTTAACAACATAGAGATCAAAGCAACATGTTCAATTATAACAACATACAGACGGAGATCAGACTATAAGGTTTATTCCCCGAACGTCTACTGGCTAAAACAACTATTTAATTATCACACTCAATTAAGAGGCCCTCTAAGGGGTCCAGGTAGAGTTTACCTGTGTTACCTTGATTGAACAAAGTAGTCAAAATCAAATAATTTAATATTTACTGATAAAACTGTGTACTAAAGCATAGATTTATTGATTAAATACTTGCTATAGTTGAAGGCACTAAACAATTAAATATTTTTTCATGTACATGTAATAAATAATTTATTATAAATTATTTTCAATTAAGCATAACTTTTTTTAACCCAACACTTGGCACTTAATTGAAGCATCACTTACACCACATTTTAACATTTTAAGCTTTGTTTAATCTATATTAAACATGGAGAACTTTTTTCACATTGCATTTACAGGTCCATAGAACGAAAAGGGGGGGGGGCATTTTTCTGAGCAAAGACTTTTCCTGTAGTATAGTCTATTCCTCTAGATCTAATATGTTAATTTTCATTTAGATGTTGCCCCCTCTTACACTCTTTTGCTGTAAGGTCGAGCGCTGCGAATATTCCAGCACTTGAAAAAAAATCTACAAACAGAGAAAGTCCACCCCTCCCCACACACGAACACACAAAATAGGATTTTCAAGGTTTTTTTTTAAATTATTTAAATTTTACTTGTTAGATTTCTCTGGGGGTTGCCCCTTCTCCCACTGTTTAAACCATTGCTACCTCTTTGTTTGGAAGCAATATCTAAAGTTGGGGGGGGGGGGATTCAAAATGATTTTTTTTTTCCCAAATATAATCGTATCTTACTCTTCTTGATAGAGTTTTTTTTACCAAAATAAATTACATGTATATTGTGATTGAGTTTTATGATACAAACTTACAAAGATTTTGAAATTATTTATTGTTATAATATTGAAAATTAATGCTTTGAAATGATGATTAAAACGAAATTAAATCAAAAGTATCTAAAGCAAAATTTATTTAAAATGACATATGATCGATAGATTTTTCCTGTTTAAGAAAGAATGCTACTTACATGTTCACTGAAATTTTATTTAACCGATCTGTAAGACATCTCCTCTGAAATATGGCTTAAGTATGGAAAGATCGATATTAGTTTAAATTAATTTTTATGAATTTTGGGGGCTTTTTTAGGAGAAAATGAAAAGATTGTTTTAATTGCAAATAAGATCCTTTAGAGTTTAAAGTTTGCCCTAAATAAATGGATAATATAAATATTTATATTTTTTTTAATTTTTGCTAAAAAATTATTTATGAAAATAAAACACATTATTTTTAGCATTTTTTAACTAAATGCATAAAATCTTCAAGATTTTTAAATTTCCCCTGAAAAAAAAAATCATGTTAAAACAATAAATATCTTTTATCAATATTTCCATGCTGAAACCATGTTTCAGAAGAGATGTCAAACATTATTGTTGCTGTAGAATTCCTCCTTCAATAAATACAGGTAAAGCTAGTTCATAAATGATTGTAGATACTACCTGTACCCCTTACAGGGCCCCTTAATTGAGTGTGATAATTAGATGTTGGTTTAGTCCAGTAGACGTTCGGGGAACACACCAGACTATAATTGCTATCAAAACATATTTCACACCTATTGTTCTATACCTAATTATCAAATGTGTCCAAAACGGGAACATACTATTAACTAAAATCAATTTTTATGAATTTTGGGGGCTTTTTTAGGAGAAAATGATAAGATTGTTTTAATTGTAAATAAGATCCTTTTAGTGTTTAAAGATTGCCGTAAATAAATGCACAATATAAATATCTAATAAAACATGTCAAGAAAAGTCAGATAAGCTTTTTTTTTTTTATTTTTGCTAAAAAATTATTTATGGAAACAAAACACATTATTTTTAGCATTTTTTTTTTAAACCAATGGATAAAATCTTCCAAGATTTTTACATTTCCTCTGAAAAAAAATCATGTAAAATAATTAATGTATTTTATCAATCTTTCCATGCTGAAACCATGTTTCAGAAGAGATGCCTTAAAGATCCCCAAATTAATGTTGCTGTAGAATTCCTCCTTCAATAAA